TAGTGAAGATCCACTATACGCTAGAAGATACCCAATATGACGATGACTTTATCGTATTGGATTTGGATGACAAATTTGATGTCATCCTTGGAATACCGTGGCTCAGAAGGTACGAACCACGAGTAAACTGGCAACATCGGACAGTAACGATGCCTGCCGCTTGTTCATCAGATGGCCATCTGATGAACGTTTTGGAGCGCCCACAAGCGTGTGGATGTACTACGAGTGAGTGCAATGGCCTCACTTGTGGTACGGTCGTTAGTACGACTGCACGAAACCTTAGTGTAACAAACAGTTACACTTTGGAGCAAAGTTCCGGCGGCTTTGAGGAAACACATGCCGAAGGTCCACCACTCGAATAAGTCGAGTAGACCGGGACAAAGATGTATCCCTAGCGGGGAACATCTAGAAGAGAAACAATCGATCGCTCAGGTTAAGCGAATCGATAATCCTAGATCGACTGGAGAGTGTTTCGTAGAAAATCTCGCTGTGGTTGCGCAACCCCAGCTAGAGGAAGTAAAGGGAATAAGTCTCGATAATTACAGATACGGTGGAAATAAGTTCCTCAAAACCCGAGGGAATAAGTACCCGGGAAGCCGAAGGAATAAGTCCTTCGAAACCTGAGGGAATAAGTCCCCAGGAAATGACAGAGACATCGAATGTCATAGTCAATGATGGACCAAGTGTGGGCGCTTATACAATTGATATAATTGCGCCTCCGAAGTTAACTTCGGAGATCACTCAGTTGCCAACGCTCGAACATAAAAGGTTCTTGCGTGATCTGCGTAGTGGCAAAGTCAAGCAGATCTGCGTACTCGTCGCTGACGACGAGTGTGTAGCCGACATTAGGTCAGCAACAGTGTTTACTGAGAACGAGAGAGTTCTCAGTAGTTCATCGATAGAAAGACACGAGGTGAGCGATATGACTCCCAATCGTGGGAATCGCTCAAGACAAATCCTCTCTATGAAGATTTGGTTGAATTCAAGGATGTATTCCCTGAAACTGTTCCGTGCGAATTACCGAAGGATAAAGGTATTCGACACGAGGTCGAGCTTAAACCAGGCTCGAAGTACTGTGTCATGAAGCAGTGGCCACTGCCTCGTGAACAAGTACTTGCGATCGACAAGTTCTTTGCCGATCGTGGGCCATGTGAGGGAATCAACGTCCCCACATAGCTCTCCGACCTTCTGTGTGCGAAAAGCAACAGGAGGGTGGCGGATTGTCCATGCATTCAACAAGTTGAATGCTGCAACGGTACCAACTCAGACACCAATACCAAGGAAGGACGTAATTATTGATGGTATGTCATAGAGTACCATCTTTTCGTCCATGGATTTGATGGATGGCTTCTATCAAATCCTTATGCGATAACGGGACATATCCTACACCGCAGTGAGCACGCCTAGCGGTATGCTCTGGGAATGGCTAGTGATGCCACAAGGGCTTTGTAATGCCTTTGCCACGTTCAACAGATGTGTATCACACCTGTTGAGACCAGTACGAGAATCCGCACCGAGTTATTTCGATGACGTATTCATCCATAGTCGGGCTATGGATGGAAAGTCGGATGTTGAGGTTCACAGATGCCACGTCCGACAGGTTCTTACAATCATGCGAAAGCATCAATTGTATGCCAACCTCAAGAAGTGTATATTTGCAGCAAGCGAAATACTACTTCTTTGGCGCATTGTTGGTAAGAACGGTTTTCGTCTTGATCACTAAAAGATCAAGGCGATCACCGACTGGCCTGTGCCAGTTGATGTCAAAGGTCTTCGAAAATTCCTTGGGATAGCGGCGTATTTGCACAAGTATTCACGCAATTACGCCGAGATGACTGTACACCTCTCTCGTTTGTTGAAAAAGAACGAGAGGTGGTTATGGAACGCTGAATGTCAACGCTCCTTTGAGGGTATCGGGCAGAGCTTGATACAATCCCCAGTCCTAGCAATTGACGATCAGGACAGGCCATTTCATGTGGTCTGTGATGCCAGCGATTTCGCAATCGGCTGTGCATTAATGCAGTACGGCCTTGAAGGCGTTGAACGCGTCGTCTGCTATCAGTCGCGTCAGCTGCAACCAGCTGAGCAGAACTATCCAGTGCATGACAAGGAACCCCTTGCCATGAAACATGCATTGGCCAAGTTCAGAGTCTATCTGTTAGGAGATAGACCCTTCATTGTTTACACAGAACATGCGTCGTTACGCACGGCAGTAAACAATCCGCACCTTTCACAACGAATGGCGCGGTGGTTGTCATTCTTTGCAGAATACAACTTTACGGTAGAGTGCAAACCAGGACGACTTAATTTCGTCGCCGATGCACTCTCACGTCGGCCCGACTTTGAACCAGTCGTGAAACCCAACAGTGAGACAGCCACTGTTGCGGTTATGACGTCCACCATACCATCTTCAACTTTACATGATGATGTGAGGCGGGTGTATGCCCATGATGGTGAAATTGTGAAGTTGTTGACACATCTCTCACAACCATCTCGATAATCGTTGAAACGATTATCGTCTGCGTATCGATCTGCATCAGATCGATACACTACTCGTAACGGTTTACTGTACTATACAGCCGTTTCTGGTGACACACCACGTGTTGTCATTCCAGATGATACTGATCTGCGTTTGCGGATCATGTTCGAGTATTACGATGCTCCTATAGGAGGACATCGTGGCCGAGAGAAAACATATCTCACGGTAAGTCGAGACTTTTACTGGCCCCGCCAGTATCAGTTTGTGCGAAAGTATGTTCGCGCATGCGAAGTCTGCCAACGAGTGAAGTCAAGTCCTTCACTGCGTGCACCTTTACAGCCTCTACCGGTTCCGGCTGAGTGCTGGGAATCCATCTCAATGGATTTCGTCTTCGGGTTACCCAAAGACGCACGCGGGAATACGGGTATTCTCGTATTTGTTGACAGATTCAGCAAAATGGTACACCTTGTGGCTGTACCAGAGACAATCACGGCAAGTGGCTGTGCTTGTGTCTTTATTGACACCATCTTCCGACTTCATGGGTTGCCCCGTGAACTCGTATCAGACAGAGATCCACGATTCACTGCTGATTTCTGGCGTTCCGTGTTCAAATCACTCGGAACGCGCTTGAAGATGTCGACATCTGATCATCCAGAGTCAGATGGTCAGACGGAACGTGCCAATCGTGTCCTTGAAGATATACTTCGAGGATACGTACACTCCTTTAAGAGTTGGAGTGAGTTTTTGCCAATGGTAGAGTTTGCCATTAACAACTCGGTGCATGCGTCCACGACACATACACCGTTTTACGTGAATGGCTTGCGCCATCCGCGTGTACCCACCTTACTAGAGTGTAACTCTGGTTTAAGGGGGGAGGGACTCGCGCGAGCAAAAACCGAATTGGTTCACGCTCATCACGCTCTGACGAAGAAGTCATTGCGTTTGATGCCGATATCGATAACATCGATATCGAAGAAGATGATGCCAGTGAGAGTGCGGAAGCCCTCACTGAAGAAGATGATCCCAGTGAGAGTGCGGAAGCCCTCACTGAAGAAAGGGTTGATGTTGCTTCAGTGCGCTCACAGCACACTGAAGCTAACGAGTCATCAGATGAGTTCATACTGGCTCGTGAAACGGTATTCCGTTTTGTGCAAGACTCCATCGCCGAAGCGGTGGATAAGCAAAAGCAAAACGCTGACAAGAATGGAAGGGCAAACACTCTTTTATTTAATAAAGGTGACTTAGTCCTACTGTCTACGGTTAATCTACCAAAGCATGTAGTGACTAACTTGGGTAGCAGTAAACTTCTACCCAAGTACATCGGCCCATTTCGTGTATTGCATCGCCTAGTCAACGCATACACGATCGAACTGCCACGTAAGATGCGAACGCATCCCACGTTTTACGTTGGTCGGCTTAAGCCGTACCATCAGTACGCTGTTTCTTCCGATGAAGAACGCCCTTGCGCTCAAGCATCTCGCAGAGAGCCTTGTGCTCCCGATGGTGGATATCGACAAGGGTCTGAAGAGCAGCTATCTCAGCCCGAGACCGATCAACAATCCCACGAGCTACCCTTAGCTCGTCACGCAGAGACGTAATAGCTCTCTCGTTCTCAAGCTGAGCAAAAGCAAACTCAGCTCGATGCTTCGAGACAGTGTCCGCCAGTTGAAGACGCTTGTCCCGCTCATGTTCGAGATCGCCGCGTAAACTCTTGTGTCACGCGATCAAAGAAGCTCTCGGGAACACACGCTTCCCCACGATTATGTGGAGAGCGTCTTCTCTCCTCCTCCTCCACCTCCATTAGAGGACTCTCGCGGTGGCCAGCGCTATCTGGTTGAGCAGCTGTTGAACTACCGCGACGTGAACGGACGTCGGACGAGTTATCTAGTCCGGTAACGTGGCTATCCCCCGTCCTGGGATTCTTGGGAGCCCCGCTCCCAACTGATGAATGACGTACTGGGTCTGGTTAAGCAGTACGACGCGGCACATCCTGTGCCGCAGAAGGACCGCCGGAGAAAGTCTTCCCGGCACGGTCGGAAAGGGATTTCAGGTTGTCAATCCCTTCGTACATTTCAGTAGAGATACGTACGCGCCACCACGGGCTAGTAAGGAGGTAAGCCTCCTTAGATGCGCGCGCAGAGTTGTTTACACAACAGGGGCACGGGTCTCCCCAATAAAGACAGGGTAACCCTTTCTCGCTGGACAGACGATGCAACTTGTAGCGTGCACCTGTCGGGGTTCTCTTCTCAAACTTATCATGAGCTTTGATGAGTTTGTCGTTCCAAACGTCACGACCTACATCCTCGAGGTTATGGATGTAGGCGTTCCACGCCTGAAGCAGTGAGGGACCATCACGTTTGTGATTCCCACTGTACCATCGATGCATAAAGAAAGCATCGATGAAGAATTCAATCTCAGCGCGATAGTCTTTCGCACTGGGGTCAAGGTGATGGATCCTTGATGAATCGAACAATCGTTTTCGATAACGATCACATGTCGTCGCCGACAAGCAATCCATGACTTACTTTGGAGGCAGCAATGCCTTCTTTTCGGGAGCGAGAAGCAACACGTTGCGGTCCCGCTCTTCCTGCGACGTGCCGACAAAAGGACTGGTGCCTCGCTGCGAAGTGGTGTCAATAGGAGAACCGACACCACTGTGAGCGACCGAGTCTTGCGATCTCGAGCGCCTTCGCTTTGGCGATGGTTCATCTGATTCGTCAGACATACCGAAGAAGCTACGACGCAAAGCATCATCCATGCCACGCTTGGCAGGCGGCTTGGATTCGACCGCCTTCGATACAGATCCCTCTTCCGTATCAGGAGAGTATGAGACACCGAGCTCATACGCTGTGAAGACATGAGTGTCTTCGTGACGAGCGCCTGCATCACCAGGTGACACAGGCTGAGACGCTCAAGAAACCGATGACACATCGGTTGCAGCGTTTTCTGCGTCGGCGTCTGCACAGAGACGTGCAGACGCACTCTCAGCGGCCTTGTTCGCGCACCGCATGGACTTGTTAACCATGCGATGAAACTGATGGACTGTGGACTCGGACCAACAAGTGCAAACCCTGTCCCAAATAATTTGGGACGAGTATCCATTTAGTCAATCAGTCACAAAAGATACTAATGGTTAAGGGGGGGGTGATGTAACGGGGTAAACCGTTACATAACAATTTATAAGAAATTGTTAATAGAATACAACTGTAAGGGTTTTATTCTCAGAACATAGTCATAAGGACAAATATTCTGCAGCACTTACGAGTAGTTCCTAATTGGTTGATATAGGCCAATACGTCAACCAACGAAGACGCGCCACGACAGACGCACGCAATGAGTGGTGAGCAGATAGTTGATATACACATTTGTATTCAGACGTTGTTAGATGAGGATAAACAGTGGATGATTAATAGACATTAATTATGATAAATACAGTTCTACTTTTTACTTTAACCAAGTACTCGCTTCTCCTTACCGTCTTCCTCTGAACGTACGAGCGTACGTGAAGTTCCGAGGCACCGCCTTATTCTGTCATCAGAATAAGTAGCTTGTACTGTCATCAGTACAAGCTTCAGGGCGCCCCGTTACATATAGCGTTAATTTTGTAGCCGGGGTCTGCAGCGGTCCCTCCACAGGCCAACTATAAACGCGTGATAAGTGACTCTATTTTCCTCGTTCACTCGCCACATCGAAACTCCACATCTTGCAACGGATAATTTGAAAGAGAGCATCGACGACGATCTGCAACAGCTCGACGGATATGAATGCGTATTTCTGTCGGCGGTTGCTTTGCAGCAATGTATTGTCCAATAGAATGTAGAGCAATCTGCCGACGCAAGACTCGATAATTAGACGCAAGATCTTCTAGTCAACAAGGATTGCAACCGCGTACAGGGACACAAGCGCGTAACGAAAGATTTTATTGCAGATAACTCGACCTATAACTCTGTCAATTTTTCGCCGCAGGTTCCGTATGTCTGGTTTGCCTTTTGCACGTATTGTGAATATATTACAGCAGATTGACGGCTGTTTTGCGCAAAAGCCTGGAGCGACCGGGCAGATGGGCTTTTTGGTGCTAAATAAGTGCAACTCGGCTAAGCGTCAGCTGGCCCACGGCGTCATACGAGATAATTTTGGATAATCCCTTCGCAGGGCGGAGAGTACGGGTCGCGATGCCTGCATCGCTTTGTCGCAGCAATTGTGCGAGCATTTGGTGAGCGTTTTCTTCGCCAGCCGAATGCTTATGACGTGCAACATCTATAAGCGAAGATTGATGCTCGCGGGTTCTTAGGAATGCTTGGCTCGCTCGATTGTATGCACATGTTCCGAAAAAAAATGCCCTGATGCATATGCCGACCAGTACACTGGTATGGAATGAAAATTTACGCTCATCTTCGAAGCCGTCGCCTTGCAGAACCGTTACATCTGTAATGTGTTTTTGGCATGCCGGGATCACACAATGACACTAATATTCAGGATCGCTCGCCGCTGTTCCAGATAATTTGCATCAATTTGAGCGGCGCCCGTCAATTTTACCATCAACAGGCACGACTATGTGATGGGCTATTAGCAGGCCGACGGTTAAATTCAAATCATGCCAACCTTGTCAAACACAATTCGCTTCCGCAAAGTGCCATAAAGGTACATTCTGTACATAATACATAACCTATGTAAATGCCGGAAGTGTCAGACAATTCTGATACATACGCTTTCCAAGATACAGCATTTGCGCAAAACAGGAGGCAAAGCGCAAAGACGTGGAGTGTGAAGTGTGGAGTTTGGCGTACTGAAAGATTGATTTGTCATCATCCGTCGGCCAAAGCACTTGTGGCATTTGAAATAATAAAAGACAAAAGTGAAAGCGAGCATTATTCTGCACAATGCGATCGTCAAGGACCAGCGTAAAATGAAGTTCAATTGTGTGAAGGATTGAAGAGAACAGGACTTGAAGAGCTTTCTAGTGTGCGGGACATGCGCGAGTTCGACTGGTTTGTACACCCTTTCCACACAGTAAGCAATGCTTTAACGCTTTTCATGCTGCGTAATGATGTTAAATAGCATCTATGGCAGCGAAATGGGGAGACGTATGCGACGCACGAATTGTTAATTTTAAGCTTTAGATTTATAGATATATATATGTATGTATGTGTACATACATATACATATAACGCCTCTACTACCTTGGTACCCAATCCACTCCTCAACTTCTCCGGACTCAAGCGCTTGATAAATCGACGTTGTTTCAGCGTGTAATATTAGCGCTGGAAGGCATCAATTTAGCTCATGCCGACGCGCATTATCGTTTCCCCGAGATCAACTCTGTAACAAAATAGCCCGTTACAAGATATAGACACCTAACGGTGTCAATAGGAAGATTGCATAGCGTGACAATTGCCTGCCAGTATTACTAATCTCAGTCAATATTGAAGGAGTATTAACCCTTAGGATCATATTCACACGCTGCCCGAAATTTGATTGATAAAAGACATATCAACCAAGATTACCACCAATCGCTGCTAGACGCGCACAATGAGTGGTAAGCAAGTTGGCGTCGTACGACCACGTTCATTAAAATAGTTAGATAAAGAATAAAGTTATATTGATAGCTCAGTATCTTAAATACAGTTCTCTTTTTACCCTTAACTCAAACTAGCTGTTATAGTAGATTACCTTTGTCTGCACATACGAGTGTACGTGAAGCTTCGCGGCACCCCAAACAAAGGGTGCTCCGTTACAAGCTCCGACACATCTGCCTTGCGCTTGGCATGAAGCGCCACGTTGGCTGTCGGCCTGGCCATAGTAGCCTAGCTGCTCGCAAGGGCGGCCGGGTTAGATTTTACTTGGCCACCTTCTTGGCCGGACTCTGGCTAAGAGGCGAGAATGCTCATTGTAGTTCCCAGCGGCTTCTATCATGACAGGTTATTATTCTTCCCGTCCGCAAATGCTTGTTAGTATTTAGCGTATGCACGGTTTCCTTCGTAGCGGTCGAGGCGGCGAGCCTTTCCTGCTATTTTAGCTTTCCTCACAGGGAAGACAAGGGCGCCGCCATGGTGAAAGGAGACTTTAACTGCGACTCGTACAGGGCGAGCTCTTCGTTTAGCTTGTCGTTGGTATTTTTCCCAACTCATTTCGCACATTGACTTGCAAAACAAAGCACCAGTATTATAATAGCTGTGTAGACACACTGTTTTTGCACAGAGGCCTGAATCTGTGCGTAGTGCCCTCAAAATGTGCTGACCTTTAATTAAAAGGCCCCAACTTCTCAACTTGACAACGTCTTTTGCGCCCACAACTTAAATTATGGTCTTGCTCTAACGATGTGGTTATATAATTCCAAAATGGATTCAATATTGCCTCGTGCCCACGATGGGGTCTTGGGATACTTCTAGCCAGCTCAGGCAGAGATTACGGTCCCAGCAGAGAAGTAATTCTTCAGACGCTGGCGAGAAGCTAGCAAGGATCTGGCAAGAAGATGTCCGAGGCATAGGTTTTTTCTTCACAGACACGATCATTTCAAGGAGAATTGGGAGCCACGACCTGATCGTGGGCCTCGGTGCGGGGCGCGAAAGCTGAAGAACATCGAGGTTGCTCAATATGTGTAGGGGTAGGATGAGAGAAGTTATAGTGCGGCAAAAGAGATGGGGTGTGGGTGAGCAGAGCGGGAAAGTGAAGCGGCAAAGGGTGAAAACGCGCAGAAAGAGGGCGTTGGGGGGAGACATCTTACCAGAGGGGAATCCACAATCATATGGATGCTAAAAAGTGTATAGCATATTTTGAATGTATGGTTAGCTCATGCTATACCGCTAAAACGAGAAAAGCCAAAAATGTACAGCAATTTCTGCTATTACTAATTTGTGGTGCACTACTGGGGATGCTTGAGTACTTATAAGCTGGATGTTATTAGAATTCCAGCACTTGGCAGTTACGAGTGGCTTCACGGGTGGTCAAGACAGTTTATTTCTCTTGACAAGGGATGAGCTGGGTATATTCTCAGTCCAGCTTACGTTTTTAGGCATAAAAACGGCGAAGATTAAGATGCATCTAAATGAAGATGGATGTGGACCTGTCCAGCTACAGAATACTACGATAGGAAGCACCAAAGATCCCGTCAAATTTGTTCATTTGTGCCGGTTTAGAAGTTGGGAATCAGTCGAACATTTTGGGGCCGTAACGCAGGATGAGTCAACTGTCGCTGCGCTGCTGATACTACGTACCTGCAACATCTTCAGGTACCGCTTTACTTTTGCATTAACCCAGACAGTATCTACTTAATGCTGTCATCTTTCTGCAACACTATCGCTACTCGCGAGCTTTGAGTTGTTACAAATTGCAGCAAAGTAACACGTTAGAAGGTGTGCATTGACTGTTCTGTCTGAACTGCACAAGCTTGAGCCTCATGTCATACTTTATCACATACTTGCACAATCTAACGAAGGCTACGACACATCGGCAGCCGAGACAGGTGGCCGGATACAGAAAATTATTGATGAAGATGTACATTTAGATTAGTGTAGTAGGTATGATCTCATTTCTAACCATTACTTAGATATTCCATTTCACCGTCCTTTACATTGCACGAAGAAGAAAAACAAATTAGGAAATTTGTCTTTCATAGAAGATTATCTGATCGAACTTTTCACATTTTTACGTCTTGAAAATAAATAAATGCTAAGGCATCCACCTAACATTTTATCATTAGGCTATTAGTACTTCTACTTAAACCATTAAAATTACATTGAAAAAAGGTTTTTAATTATTTAATTTTAAAAAAAATCCAACTTGCCGCTAGAAACACATTCAATTCAATCTTTACTGTTGAAAAATTTGATGTCTACTGGCCACTAAGGAATCACACTATTAGCTTAAAATGGAGCCATCCGATATTCCTCAAAATCCCGTCTCTGACATAGATTATCCTGTCTAACCTCTCTTGTACGTCGTCAATGCGCCCGTCGATCACCCTGTACGCGGAACTGGTTATCAATCTAACTTACGGGCTATGCCATGGCA